AAGGCGAGTGAGGGTGACACAGCCAGGGCACGGGACCGGAGCCCCCAGGCAGGTGAGAGGGCCCTTAAGGAGTCGGTAAAGGACTCCTTCGGGTGAGGGTTTGCCAGCGATTGTACAGATCCATCCCCAGAGAGATCCTGCAATCTGTCCATGCCCATACATCTGTGAGCTGTCTGTCCGTCCATCCCCACTTACCCCTGCAATCTGTCCATGCCCATACACCCTGTGAGCTGTCTGTCCGTCCATCCCCACTTACCCCTGCAATCTGTCCATGCCCATACACCTGTGAGCTGTCTGTCCGTCCATCCCCACTTACCCCTGCAATCTGTCCATGCCCATACACCTGTGAGCTGTCTGTCCGTCCATCCCCACTTACCCCTGCAATCTGTCCATGCCCATACACCTGTGAGCTGTCTGTCCGTCCATCCCCACTTACCCTTGCAACCTGTCCATGCCCATACACCTGTGAGCTGTCTGTCCGTCCATCCCCACTTATCCCTGCAATCTGTCCATGCCCATACATCTGTGAGCTGTCTGTCCGTCCATCCCCACTTACCCCTGCAATCTGTCCATGCCCATACACCTGTGAGCTGTCTGTCCGTCCATCCCCACTTACCCCTGCAATCTGTCCGTCCAGCCCCCCCACCCAGCCTGCAATCTGTCTATACATCCCACATGCGCCCTGCTACCTATCTTGCCCCACATAGGCCCTGCAATCTTTATATCCATCCTCACACATGCCCTGCTCTCTCTCTCCCCACCCCGCTGCTGTTCTATCGACCTTCCCTCTCCCTGTCCGGTGTTGGTATCCAGCCCATGGCTGCTGGAGGAGGCCGGGGGGGTCCTGTCCGGGGGGGGCAGTTCTCCAGCCTGGCTCCGCAGGAGCCTTTGGCTGGGCTGAGGGGTTCCCCGTGGTCACACGCCAGCACCTAGGGGCTTGCTCACTCGGGGGGCTGGGGGAAGGAACCCTGTGGTGTGACTCCCCGACAGCCTGAGGGACCATGTCCCCCCGGGACCAAAGCAGACTCCGCAGTGC